GTCATAGCCCCCCCCCCCCCCCAATATAATCCGTCTTACATTCTGATATGTCTCTCTCACTCTCTCTTTTAATGATACACACAATCTCCTTCGTTTATCTCTCTGTCTCTTTTTCTTTCTCTCTCATTCTCGTTCTCTGTCTGTCTGTCTGTCTCTCTCTCTCTCTCTCTCTCTCTCTCTCTCTCTGTCACTCATTCAATTTCACTGGCTGCCTTTTTTACTTCACTGATACGATAGATTTGCATTTTAATTAAAAGCAAAGCGTTGAAATCATAATGCGAAGCGTACGGTGCCGCCTTCTTCGCATCATTATGTATATGCGTAGAACTCGATCACTCCTTTCTCTCTATCTCTGTTGCTCTTTATATGTCAGACTTCCTGCTCCTGGCGTAAAAACTCTTCGAGCTCTTATCAATTTTCTCTGAACTAACGTGCATTAGCTTCCCAACAACGTTGTACATATACTTTTTTATCTTATTTTATACTTTTTGTCACAACGTGACTGAAATTTTCATTTTTCAATTCTCTGTGATGAAAGATTCATATTTGATGTATGAAATAGTTGAGTTTTTAATTCTAATAGTAGAAATTTATAAATTCAGAAACATATTCTTTTTGTGTTTAATGTTAAAGTTTAAGTATTTATTGTCAATTGTTATTTTACTCTTTCTCTTTCTCTCTCATTACTTTTCTTTTTTATCCTATATATTTAATATCTTTATACACTAATCGTGTAGTAACAGTAAAACTTTGTGTAAATAAAATTTTTAACGAATTGTGATATTAAATAGTGAATTAAGATTCGATCCAATTATATAATTAATATATTGAATATTTCCTCACAGAGGTATATACGTATTAATTCAGCTTAAGATTATTAAAATAATTAAAAATCGTGAATAAATTATAAGACTAATTTAATGTACTAATTATAATTGACACGCAAAATTAAGTAGTTAATGTATTTGCTAAAATGCTATTCAATTATGATATGTAAGAGTATCCTGTTATTGTTCGTGTTGTTATTAATATTATTGTGCTGCTTTATATTTAATTTAAGAAAGTTTTTCATAATTGTTATATCAATATTTTTAGCAATCTCAAGTAAAATACGTCTTTACTGCTTTCTAAAGCTTCCGTATAAGTTTGAAGAATCGAAGGACGAAGGTAAGGGAAAGTGACAAAGATCCTGGCAATGGGGAGGGCCAACAGACTAATCCAGGCATTTGTTAACGCGTTTCTAATA